TTTTTTTTTTTTTTTTTTTTTTTTTTTTTTTGCTTTGACCTAGAGTATCTTCTTTCTTATATTTACAGAGTACCTGCTATTAGCAATTATTATCTTTAAATATTTAAAGATACCACATGATAATATAAAATTTTTATTAATTTAATTTTGTTATGAGTTGGATGATCCACCAGACATGAAATTTATAATATATATAATATTATTTGAAAAATACTTTCCTACGTGTTGCACGTTAGTTCTTAACTACTAAAATATGGAAATCATATACTCCCTCTGTTTTATTATAAGTGTCACTCTATAGCTGTGCACACGGATTAAGGAAACAATTAATTTTACATATTTCCTATATAAAAACACAATTACCTATACACCTAACCATATTTTAACCAATAGAAAAATTAGTTACATAATAAAATTAATAAATTTGCATTGAAAACTGAAAACGACACTTATTTTGTAACGCAAAAAATTCTCTACAACGACACTTAATATGAAATGGAGGGAGTATATATGTTAGAGTTCGTTTTTATTTATCAACTAATACTGAATCTTCTCTTTTAATAGAGAAGTACCAAATTTATCTACTATTTAGAAGTCATGTTATACCATGTCATTAACTATTTAATTTGATATATTTGATTGTTACATTACCCAGTAAAATATATATTATTTTCAAAATATCTTAATAATTAATAAGGATATTAGTTATAAATTAATTTAAATATAACAAAATCTGTTGAAAAAATCTTACAAGATCTTATCAAAAATTTAAATATTTTATTATAAAAGAAGTATTCCTTTATTTCGTTATTAGATATAATTAAAATTAAAAGTAAAATATAAATCATATTACTTAAAAATTTAGTTATATATTTATAAAATGAAAATATACCCGCACGGATGTGCGGGTGAAACTCTAGTACATTTTAAAAATGAATCATTCTATTGATCATGTTGTTGGTCGGTGGATTGACCTATGTCTAGGACGATCTGGAAATGTTACAAAGATAATAAATTTTTTAAATATTTTAGCTTAAATAATATAATAAATACTAAAACATAGTAACCAATAATATTTGCGATATAGCTGTTTTGATCAAAATATTAAAAGTGGAAATCTTCTTCTTAAAATTACAACTAACTTTAAACTAAATAACTAATTTAATAATTAATAAATTATTATTTTTCAATAGATCCAAACAAATATTTTCTAAACTAATACAATTTTCATTTATTTTAATATCTCTATTAAAATCATACATAATAAATTAAAAATTTAGGAAAATATATTTACAAATATAAAATAAAAATGGGCCAAATGCAATTAGTAAAATCTAAATAGTGTCGTAGAAAATTTACTCAGTAAACAAAAAAAAAGAAGTGAATCAATCAAAATTCTAAACATAAAATGGCATATAACACTAAAATAACAATATATTATTTAAATAATATTTAGTTTGATATATCTATTATATTAAAAGAGAAGTCATGACTCACTTCATGTGTGATATTTTAATTTGGACCATCCTTAGAAATTTATAAAATTTTACATAACATCAATATAATATCTTTTCACATCTTTAATTTTATTTGAAATACAAATAAATAGTTTTAAGAAAATTCTAACAAAATCTTTTAAAAATATTTTAGAATCTTTTCAAGATATAATTTCAACAATTATTTGATTAAAAAATTAATTATTATAAAAGAGAATTAAAATTTTAATTCTTTTTCTTTTAAACAAAAAACTAAAACTATGTAAAATACGTTTAACAATATCCCAAAATTTTGTTTATGTATTATGTAGGTCCAACTTAATTTACTTTTTACATATATTTAAAATTTAGAAATAAAACAAAATATATAAATTAATTAGTAATGTTACATAATAATGTTATAAAAATTGTTAAAAAAATAAAAATTGATAAATTTTATATTAATAATATTATAAGTCACACAAACATTATTATAAAATTGGATAGTATACATAATCAAATTATATTTATTTATTGATAAATTTTATTATATAATTTCAAATATTTCGTATTAAAATACCCGCACGGTTGTGCGGGTCGAAATCTAGTTTTATTAATTAAAGCATAAGTCATTTTTGGAAGTTTTCATGGTCTAGTTGTTTAATTAAGAGGTTATTAATGCTTCTACACTAGACGGTCTAGATTTCAAGTTTCTAAGAAGGCAAAATTATGTAAACTAAAGAAGAAAATGCTTACAAGAAGTCTGCAACATGGTGTAAGGCAAGCATGGATCCTAAATGGTGGTTCATGTGATGTAGCCAGACGTGATTGCTTATAAGACATGCATGTACAATTATCGGCTGTATAATCTTTTGTGATCTTTCTCATAACTTATAATTACAAATACCTAATACTCATAAGTCACTTGGCGAATTAGATCCCGACACGTGGCTATGACTTAGTAAAACAAATAAGATAAATAGAACAGTTTTTGATACTGCTTTTTACATATATCTAATACCTAAAAACTGAATGATTCACTTCAATTTTATGTTTAAAATTTTGCTTTTGCATCTAAGAAATGCAGAAACATACAGGGACGAAGACAAAATACCAAGAAAACAAAAACATGAGCTTTATGTGCAACAAATTTAGAACAAGAGCAGAATCGTAACTAATCTGAAAACAAATTGTATATTTAAGTCTTCTCTGATTCTTTCTCTTATGTTACTCATTTTTTTTTTCCTTTTGTAGTTTTGATAAAAAAGATAATTGCACCTTATAACCAATAAAAAAATTGTTGCACAAAAAAAACAATAAAAAAGAAAATAACAAAAAAAAAATAGAAAATAACTTAACCCCTGCTGAACAAAAAAAAAAAATTAAACCCCTCTTCTCTCTATTTCTTTCACCTCTCTGTCCTCTCTCTAGATATCTAATTTTAGTTTTTCTTTTGGTTATTTCACCAATTCTCCCTCACAGAAATCATATCTCATGGCTAATAAGAAAAACTAATGTGATGCCACAGTTACCTAGTAAAAATAACATCAACAGCTATGATGATGCAAAATTGAGTATTTACAAATTTGTTTTGTATTGTTTGATCAGTTCAATTTTTTTTAACTGCACAAATCTATTTTTATAACAATTCATATTCCACTATCTTATTGATATTTTTGAAGTATTATATAAATTTACATAAATGTTTAATTTTAGTTTTTATTATATGCAAATTATTTTAAGGAGCTTAATTATAAGCATATAAAAATATCAAATATGTCATTTCTAAATGTTATCCAGTCCAACAAAATCAAGTTTATAAACAAATAATAAAGAACATCATATGTAAAAAACAGATTTAAACGAAAGTAGAACTTGATCCGTGCGTAGCATGGAGTAAAAATACTAACGTATATATACTGTAAAATAAGATACAATTTATAAGTAAATGAAAAATATTATTAATTTATAGATAATTATTTTGTTTAAATTCATATCTGTGCATGAGCATAGAACATTTATATATATATATATATATATATATATATATTTGCTAGACATTGACGTTTAGATGATCTTTCAAAATTCTTAACTTTCAAGATACAAGATTTTTTGGAATTTTGATGATGAACGAAGAAGTTGCAAAAGAAGCTCTGGATCTATTGATCCTCTTTCCAGCTCGATTGATCCAAGGTGAAAATCGTGAGAAATTTGACGAATAGTTTTGGATCCATTGATCCGAATCACTTTGAAGATTTGAAAATCTATGCGCCAAAATTTATATATTTTTTTTCTTCTAAATTTTCAAGACATATGTGTACTATTTAGTTAGAAATTTCAGGTTTTTTTCTTTTAATGTTCACAGACTTTTGAGTTCTTTGCATTGTAAGTAGTAGGGTGATGAATCTCTGACTCTTTACCTTTAGAGAATATCTTTTAACCTTTATCTATTTAATCTTATCATGTCTTTCAATTTATCTATGATTTTGGTTTATTTTAATATATTTGAATAGTTTTGGGTTAGATTTTAGGATTTCGAATGGATTTCATGAATGATGAATTAGATTCTTAGATTAAGGAAAACTATTGTTTAAAGTCTCATCATAAAGACTTAGATGAACAAATATTCATAGTCAATGAGAATTGATGCTAAAATAATTTGTTAACAAATAAAGTATGATCTAAAATGCAAGTTTAGTCTTAATTGATTTCAGTGGGTTAGATTTCTATATTCTTAGCATAAGATCTGGGCATTTTATCCGATAGAAAACGAACTCAAATCCAATCGAAAATACCTAAACTCGAACCAATTCAATTTGTAAAAATATCCAAATGTATATTAAGTTAGAGAAGATTGGACACGCAATCCTAATCGGGTAATAATCGAGACCAGAATGGTTACCAAAAATATCTGAAATATATATAGTAACCCTAGATCCTTAATAATTTAGACTCATTTATTTTATAGTTCACATAATATTTAGACACTATTATGTTTTCGATAACATAATAGTGTAAAATTGTAGAATTAGTATTTTCTGAATTGTAAACAAAATTTAATATGAATTAGTATTTTGGGATTATTGTACACTATTATGTTACAAAATTGTATTATGTTGAAGAAGATAATTTTTTTAAAAATTATATAATTTATGAATTAGTTTATTTAAAATTTTGGCCTAGATATTTCACCCAGAACAAAAAAAAATCGAATTGAAAAGACCAGAAAATACAGGTTTGGTTAGTGTCCGAGTCCAGAGCAAAATACCTATTTGGACTTTTTTAGACCCGTGGGTCTCGGTTCGGGTCTG